ATAGTAGCAAAAATTTGGAAACAACCTAAATGTCCACAGTTAGACTCTGGTTAGATAAATTATGAAAGTACACAGAAGAAAGGAAGCTCTTTTTACTTTGATATTCGATATAGAATTTCTCTCTGAAATACATTGTTGAGTAAAAAAAAGGGGAGTGGAGCATGTTACCATTTTGTGTTTTTTAAAAGGGATTAGACACCTTTGGTTGTATATTCATGAAATACTTCTGGCAATATCAATTGCCTTTGGGGAGGGGAACTAGGTGGATAGAGACAGTTGGGTAGGAAGACTTCTTTATATGCTCATAGGCCCTTTTGTCCTTTCTGAATTTACTTGCTGTTAAAAAGAAGAGACTATTAATTCATAGATGAACACTGTGGGAGGAGCCTCATTATTTTCTATTTATTGACTTGATAATAAGTAAATATTACAGATTTAAACTTAAACACAACCTTATAGATATTTATATGTGGTTTAAGTATGAAATTATTAACCCAAATAAAGATAAATCTTCTGATCTCAATATGAATGGATTCAATAGAATTGAAGATTTCTGAAACTGTAAAATCTTGTGATTCTAGCTCTGTTATGTGATGCCATCATCCAGTGCAAGATGTGCTCAGTTTCCTCGAGCCCAGGACAAAGTTCACTACTACATTAAGCTGAAGGACTTAAGAGATCAATTGAAAGGCATTGAACGAAACACAGACGTTCAAGAGGTGCAATATACGTTTGACCTACAGCTTGCCCAAGGTATGTTGCTGTTTGCACTCCTTTTATTCATTTTGTGTATATATGCATCATAGATAGTATGTTGTGATAATGAGTGATATGTGAACCATCTTGGGGGATGATCATGCTGGAAACTCAGACTTGAGGGGGGGAAAGGGCATTTAATGAAACCTTAAAATTTGTACCCCCATAATATGCTGAAATAAAAAAAAAAAAAAGAAAGTATGTTGTGGATTTAAAACCAGAGAAGAGAAAACAATTAAATTTGCAGCCAGTTTTCCTTTTATCAAGGTCTTCTGTCTACTCTGGGTACTCCTATAGACATTTAGGATCTAAGAAATATTGTACCCCACCTAAAATTAAATGTAATAGGTTTTTACAGTTCATATGAGTTAATTTAGTATATGCTACAAAGAGTTTAAAAGATTATAGTGAAAGATGTTTCTTAGTATCTGTGAACATTCAAGAAAAAGAGCTGTTTTCAAAACTGTGGTACAAAATCCCGTTTTAAATCCTTTTCACCCTCCTCACAGAGGATGCAAAGAAGATGGCTGTTAAGGAAGAAAAATATGATCCAGGTTACGAAGCAGCTTACGGTGGTGCTTATAATGAAAATCCATGCAATAGTGAACCCTGCAGCTTCTCTTCAAATGGGCTAAGTATGTTCCCTTTCATATGTGAATTCCTTTCAAAGGCTTGCTTTTGTCAGGATGGGGGGGAAATTTAATAGAAAGAGTAAAATATGAAAGAATGGACCTAAATGATGGGTATACACAGTCATACATTGGTGTAAAGGACATTGGAAACTAAGAAGCGGGGAGGCTGGGAAGGTGGTGAAGGATAAAAATGTACCTGCAAAGTACAGTGCTCACTACTCTGGTGACAGGCACACCAAAAGCCCTGATTTCAGCATGATAGAATTCACCGTGTAACAAAATCACTTGTATTCCTTAATATTTTGAAATTTAAAAAATTATAATAAATAGACCCATTCTACTAAGTGAAGTGTCCCAAGAATGGAAAAATAAGCACCACATGTACTCATCAGCAAATTGGTATTAACTGATCAACACCTAAGTGGACATATAGGAATTAACATTTATTGGGCGTGGGGCAGATGGGAGCGGGGAGTAGGGGATAGGTATATACATACATAATGAGTGAGATGTGCACCGTCTGGGGGATGGACATGCTTGAAACTCTGACTCGGGGTGAGGGGGAAGGGAAGTGAAAGGCAACACTTGTAACCTAAACATTTGTACTCCCATAATATGCTGAAATAAAAAAATTATAATAAATAGTGGGAATAGTAATATAAAAATTTAGTTACTAATAATGAAGATGTGATGGTTATTCAATGTTTAACTACACAAAATTTTACAGCTTATTTTTTGTAAGTCATGGATTCTAAGCCATTCTAGTTGCATTTTCCTTCTTTAATAACAAAGGGGAATTTGTCATTCCTATATCTGAAAATAGAATAGAAACTTAGAATTGCATTTGGGAAGCTTGCCTAACTATTATTATAATTCTTCTTCACCAAACTGTTGAAATCTCCTAATTTGATCATTTCAAACTTCTCAATGGCATAAACTGACATTCTTTTCCCTTCTTAGCTGCTGACAGTGCTGAGTTAAGAGGAGAACCAGCTCTCAATAACATTCCAAATGGGCAGTGGATGACCCAGTCGTTTACAGACCAGATTCCTTCCTTTCATAATCATTGTGGAACTGAAGAACAGGAAGAAGGAAACCATGCTTAAGAATGGCATTGCTCAGCTCTGCTTCAATGCTGCAGTTTTAATGCAGTTGTCAAGAAGTAGAACCTCAGTTTGCTAACTGAAGTACTTTATTAGTATTTTACTCTAATGGTGTAATTATAGTACAGAACAGTTGTGTGGTAGTATGAACTCTGAACCTAAGTAGCTTGGAAGAAAAAAATAGGGTTTTTGTATATGAGTTTTTGTATCATTCCAGCTTTTTATATACTATATTTCATTTATGAAGAAATTCATAATTTCTTTTGGGAGTCACTTTTGTTCTGTAATTTTAAAATAGTCTGAATATTTATAGTTGAGTCTTAACTGTGCATACACCCAGATACACTGTTATCCTTTTTATGCCAAGAAGGGTGTGCGTACTAATAACAGTTACCACAGGTAAAGAGGCAAAGGTGCTGATTTCCATATATGAAGTTAACTCTCAGTGGAGTCTCATTTGTTACTTTTTAGTGGTAACCAAGGGTAAACTCAGAGCTCCTCGAGTTATGTGCACACTCTGACCTCTTTGCTTTGCCGTTGGTGAGTGTTTGTGAGAGTTGCTTAGTAGTAGAAATGTAGAGTATAGCCTTGCAGTAGCGAAGCTAACCTGACCTTACCTAGCAGAGCATTGAGCCCTGGCTTTGGCCTCCTCACTCCTGTGTGTTAATCCTCGCAAAGGCGCTAACTATTCTGGGATGGTAGGTTCCAGAGAATGCATAGCCTTTTACATTTCGTACTCATCTCTTTTACTTGAGACACATAAATTTGATAGGGAAGGAACTGAATTTCTCTGTCAGTATTTATTACCATTCTAATCTTATCTTCCTTGGCTTTAAGGAAGTAACATGGAAAGTGATAAGAAATGAACTTTCAGGCTGAGCAACAAGATGCTAGAGGTGTTGGATAATCTTATTTAAACTGGTGCTTTATGTATGTGAGATGTACTAAAATAGATAATACAGAATTTTTCTTGCTAGGTAAATCTAATAAGCCAATAATTTAAAAATTTTTTTCTATGTACTGTTTGTTACGGTGGACTAAGTGAAACTCATGGAAAGATTGGTTTGAATTATGTACCTTTGTGATTTTCTAATGCATTTTCCATGGTGCTACGGTAATCCAGACTACTAGGTCTGATGGGTATTAAAGCTGAGTATTCAGAAATGCCACTTGCATTTATTCCTAATCACTCTTGAATATTCAGATTTCATACATACCCAGGGAGCATGCTGTTTTTTCAATATAAAATATTTATGAGGTTTTTATTCCCCAGGAGGTTATATGGCTTGTTCTTCTCTTAATAATAAGAGAAAAAAATTGTTGTGAATCTTAACATGCTTTTTAGCTGTAACTATGATGGATTTTATTTTTCCTGAGGTCTAGGTCAAGCTGTGTAAAAGTCATTTATGTTATTTAAATGATGTACTGTATTGCTGTTTACATGGACCTTTTGTGCAGGTGCTTTGAAGTGCCTTGCATCAGGGATTAGGAGCAATTGAATTATTTTTTCATGGGACTGTGTAAAGCATGTAATTAGGTATTGCTTTGGTATATAACTATGGTAGCTTTACATAGATTTTTATTATTTGAGTGGAGAAAATACCCTTTAAATTATGGCAGACACTCACTAGAGAATGAGTTTGAGAATTTTCCAAGCATACAATAATGGTGTTTTTCATTAAACATGACAGACGAGTAGTAAATGTTGGTATCTCCTGTACATGACAGTATGAGACTTTTTCATTAAATAATATTGAAAGGTTTTAAAGTTCATTTGAAAGTCTGATAGTTTTTACAATAAAAAATAATAAGAATGGTTATCCTTAAGTTTTAAGTGTTTTCTATAGCAAGACTTACTGGTACTCTTTCCTCCTTTAAACCTGAGAATAGTTAACCTTCTATTATATTTAACGGCTAGAATAATATAAATGATGAAAATTATAAAAATCTATGAATTTTTATTTTCAGACATCCATATTTTAAATGTAATAGTTCTACACAAGACAAGATTGGCAACCGTTAAAAAATATCTGTGTGTGAAGAATATTAATACATTTAGAAAGTTTTAAAATTTGTGTATATAATTGTCATTCAGGGCCGGGTGCAGTGGCTCATGCCTGTAATCCTAGCACTGTGGGAGGCCGAGGCGGGTGGATTGCTCGAGGTCAGGAGTTCGAAACCAGCCTGAGCAAGAGCAAGACCCTGTCTCTAAATAGAAAGAAATTAATTGGCTAACTAATATATATAGAAAAAAAAAATTAGCCAGGCATGGTGGCACATGGCTGTAGTCCCAACTACTTGGGAGGCTGAGGCAGAAGGATTGCTTGAGCCCAGGAGTTTGAGGTTGCTGTGAGCTAGGCTGATGCCACGGCACTCACTCTAGCCTGGGCAACAAAGCGAGACTCTGTCTCAAAAAAAAAAAAAATTGTCATTCAGTATTAAGCAAATTGCTGATAAACTAGATGGGTTTAAGTTTTTCCAACAGTGTTTTTTAGTCACATAACCTTGATTTCCATAATTACCACTTGTACTTGAAGAATTCAGTGCCTATATGGGCCAAAGGACAATTTGCACACAGTAGTTTTGTTTTGAAAATTGTAGATCATAGATTTCAAAGGTACTGTTCATAAAGAACAATGTATAGTAGGCTACAAAGGGATCATTCCACATTTTTACACAAGGAATATTTTAAATGTTGAATTATATCAGCTGTTGTGATTGAGTTTAAATATCCCTGCAGGGTCAGGAACAAACCAGCTTTCCCAGAAGTGGTTGTGAACACTAGGGAAGTCCCAGGGTTTGTGTCTTCCATTCCAGTGGAGTAATTTAGCTTCCTGCAGAAAATGCTCTGAATATCTGGCATCTGGATTCCAGCCTTCATTGTGTTTAGAGAAAAATAATAGATTTGTTAGAGAATAAAATTTTTATATTAAATTGAATACAAGTACATGGCAAAAAATATTAAAAGGTTATGCAATGAACTTTCTACCCACCCCAAATCTCCGAAGTAGCCGCTGTTAAAAGATTTTCTCATGAATCTTTCTAGTAATGTTCTACCTGCATACCTATATGGATATACGTTTTTTAAAGAAGACAAAATAGAGCATACTGCTACCTTGCCTTTTTTGGTTTTTTATTTCATTTATTGATTGATTGATTTATACTTTGCATTTTTAAGTTACTATCTTTGAAACTTTCCACAGTAGTACATGTAGATTTACTGAATTATTTTTAATGACTACATAGAATGGATACATGATTATTTATTGACTGAGTGAGTTCCTTATTAAGTATACTTAGATGGTTTCTGTCCCATCACTAGCATAAATAACAGCCATGAACAGTCCTCTTCATATGTCCAGTGTAGGTGTACAAATATATCTGTAGGATAAAATCTTCTAGGTGGAATTGCTAGATTGAAGGATGTGTGTCTTTTAAATTTTGATAAATTGCCAAATTGTTGCCAAAAAAGTTGTGTCAGTTTCCCTCCCACCCAGGGTCAGTAGGAGTTCTTATTCTCTACATTACACCCCCTTAACACGGCAACAGTTTCTTTTGAACAGTCTAGTTTTTAACCATATAAAATGTGACTAAAAATAAGATCGACTTTTTTAACAAACAGTGGTCTTCATTCTAATATCATTCCCCTCATAAGTGATCACTTAAAGATACTGTCCTCTTACCCTAATATTGCCATGGCTAAGAATATTTTTAAAATACACATTCTAGAAGTGCATTAAGACAGTATAAAGATAATTTTAAAAAAAAAATCCTCTATGGTGTTAATGTTTCTTTCCATGAAAATAAATTTGATATTTTTAAAAGATAACTGAAAATCCATTGAATAAAGACAGTGATTAACTAGGGTTATGTTATTCTGGTTTATGATAACAACAAAAGAACCTAGCATATATTATTCATAAGCATAGCTATGAAGGCAGCTGCTGAAGAGGAGCTAGTTTGTTTCAAGTTGTAGTGGCATAATTCAAATAATTATCAACTTTCAGGGTCTATATAAAGGAAATGCTTATTTGGGAAGACACACCTTCATATGAAAAGTCAGTACTAAGTAGAGCATTCTGATCTCTCAGCTTCATGACTGAAGGGCTATGTAGAACTACCTCAGAGGGGCTTGCAATTTTAGTGATGAAACTGCTTTTGGCTAAATACGTTTCATAAATTTAAAAAATCTTAAGCCTACCTTTTTAGTCCCCAAATTAATACTCATTAGTGTTATGTTACTCTCTGTATCTAAAATACTCTAAAATCAGATCATTTTTCAAATGATTTCTGTGTAGATTTACTTTGCACACCATCTCTGATTCCAGAAACTTTAGCACAGGTGTAGACTCTGTTCTACAAAGAAAAATGACTTCTTTCTCTTGGAAAGATTATGTCCTTTCCTGCTTGTCAGCAAGTTAGATATTTCACAAAATGTAATTCTGAGTCTCTGTTCCTGGATCATAAAACACCCTAACCTTATTGATCTAAGATCCTCATAGCTGTTTTTTTAAAAAATGTTCCACATTGTTTACAAAAGACCTTCTACTTTGATGAGATTTTCTGCACATGGAAATGTTGATATTTGACCTAAGAGTGAACATAACATTATAAACCAAAACAGATAACTTCCCTATGTTGCTCTTCTGTGCATACATTTGCTAAGGAAAATCAGGGGGGATTCTGGTATCGATATGGAAGCAACCTACACAGGGAGCACTAAGAGGAGATGGGAACTCAGCTTCCACAATTATGTCTGTTCTGCTAAAAAGGAGATTAAGGGACATAACACTTTGCAGGGTTGTTGTGAGAATTAGAAATAATATTCATCTTTCTCACCAGAACCAGTCCAGCTCTTGGCACTTGGTAAATATAAGTCCTTATCTATTGCCTCCAATTCTAAAATAATCCCCAAAGTTCTGAAAACATAACTTCTTTAGCAATAAAGTCTAGATCCCACTCAATACCACATTACCTTTAAAAAAAATTTTTTTTTTTCTAAATTTCTAAACAGGTCTGGCCTAGTGGTTTTAGATAAGAGGTTGTGGCCATGTGTTAGAATGAACTTTAATGTGTCTTCTCTGCTAGACTCTGTTCTAAGCAATTTACATGTATTCAGTAATTTGTGCCTTAGAAAACTTTAGGAGAGTCTGTTAGCTTCAGTTTACAAATGAGGAAACTAAGGCACAGAGAAATTGAGTAACTTGCCAAAGATCATAGAATAGCAGAGTTGGGATTCCAATCCATACCTTAGAGCCTGCTCTTGGGTAGTGAATAAAAAGACTGTTAAGGGATGCACATAGTACACGTCCAATAAATGACTGCTTTTTAAAAGACACATTTTAATGCCAGCTATCTAAATTTGTCATAAGCCATTATGCTACTTTATTTGGTGTTGTCCACTGTAGACCACTGCAAGAGGGCAATAAAGGCATACGGAAAGATTTTGACGTGAAAATTCCATCTTAACAAGAGTTAATGTTTATTGAGCACATAATATATCTTAAGCATTAGTCCAATAGCTTTTCATGAATTCCAGGAAACACACCCCTCAAGTCGCTAAGAATATCAGCTGCATTTGCAGACTCTGAGCACCGAGGGTTAAGTAACTTGTCCAAGGGGACCTGGAGGATCTAAATTGAACAAACTAGTACAATAGCACTCTCTCAACCATGTGCTCACTGGCTCTCTAAAATACACATTTGTGGGTGTGGTGCGCACCGTCTGGGGGATGGACACGCTTGAAGCTCTGACTTGGGCAGGGCAAAGGCAATATATGTAGCCTAAACATTTGTAGCCCCATAATATGCTGAAATTAAAAAATAAATAAAATATACATTTGTGTTGTTTTTCTAAAATACTTACCCAGGTGCCTTATGTGCCACAGGGGGTTGATTGTGGAATATTTCCCGTGAAACACAATCAGCATTGGGGAGGTGGCCACCCCTCCTCCCAGGGAGCTGCTGTAGAGGTTTTCCCTAAGAAATGAAATAGAAAAGCAACATTTGGACTGGAGCTGCCACAAACTCAGATATAGTAGAATATAATACTTTTAAAAGATGTAAGACATTCTCTCACTATATAATAAGACTTTCATTTTACCCCAACCTTTTATTTTGAAAATTGTTAAACCTACACAAAATTGTAAGAATAACCATGAACTCCTATAGATATTGCCTAGTAGATTCACAGTGTTAATATTTTGCCATTTTAACTCAGTCTTTTTTATGGTAGCCATAGAAGATCAGATTCTGATCCTACATTATTTAGAATAACTTTACTCACAAATTCAAGGTTACAATGGTACCAAAATATCCAGATAAAAAAGACTGACAGGAAATACAATAGCATGATAAAAGTGGTTGTGTTAGTTACTTCTATTTTCTCTAAACTTCAATAATGAAAAATTATAAATTAAAAAAAAATCAACCTTAAAAAGCAAAGCTGACTTTATAAAAATAATGCTTAACAAGCAATTTATGTAAGAAGGAGAAACTCGACTAGATAAAGATTTTCAGTGAAAAGGATTCAAGTGATGTTATTAAACAACTGATTAGGAAAATATATAATAAAGGACTCCTTATTCCACAGGGTCTGATTCCTCTGATTTGTATCATTTGAGGAAAGATTTTAACCTACTGCCCCCTTTTCTTTCTCAACAGTGCCTCTAAGAAAATCTGCCCTAACAAGACTGAAATAGTTCTAACCCCTAAGCTATGCATAGAAAATCAATTGAATAATTTTGTTCTCAAGCATGGAAAATATGGTAGAGAGGTCAACACATACTCCACGTTTTTTTGCATCCACTTTTCCAGTTGTTTGGTGATGCGCTGGTGTTTCCATTCCGTCATGTTGGCAACAATCACACCAGGATTGAAAGAGCAGGTGCTGGGGCTGATGCCAAGGTCTTTTATGGTCTTCTTCCGGTAGTCCAGATAGCCCATATATGTATTCTGTAAGGGAACAGGATACGCATGCGTTTGGCCAGTGGATCTTTTGTTTCTGAAAAATGATCATTTTCTTGAAGCTTTTGTGCAGTCTTTCTGAGTTTCCTCCTGTGTCACTGGCCACTTCCTAGAGGTTTTGTTTTGTTTTATTTTGGTTGGGTTTTTTTCGCTGGTTCCCCCTCATTTCTCCAACGTCTAAATGCTGAATGCCCCAGGTCTCAGTCCAGCACCTGTTCCTTCCTCTAGCAAGAACTCTATAGACATCCTCATACAGCCTCATGGCTCTAAACACCGTCTATCTGACCTCTCCTCTGGACTTCTGACTCCTATACCTGCCAACTAAATGTCTCCTTTCGGACAGTCAGCAAGGTAGCTCCAACTTACATCTAAAAACTGATCCAAATCCTGTCCAAAACCTGCTTCCCTACAACCTGCCTCACCTCAGCCAGTGGCATCTTTATCCTGGTTACTTGGGGCAGAAAACCCAGGGTCATTGGGTCATCCTTGACTCCTTTCTCACTCACTCCTCATTCATGTCCGTCAGCACATCCTGTTGGTCCCATCTTCTTTTTTGTTGTTGTTGTTTGAGATAGAGTCTCGCTCTGCTGCCCAGACTAGAGTGCCGTGGCATCAGCCTAGCTCATAGCAACCTCAAACTCCTGGGCTCAAGCGATCCTCCTGCCTCGGCCTCCCAGAGTGCTAGTATTACAGGTGTGAGCCACCATACCTGGCTGGTCCCATTTTCCAAATGCCAGAACCCAACCACTTCTCTAGCCTCTAGTGTTCCATCCTATAATTGCTACTCACTGGATTTATGCAAGTTCCTCCTAACTAGTGTTCATGCTTCCATCCTTCAACCCCACTCTGTTTCTAGGTCACTCGTATCATCAAACCTCCCTCTCCCCGTGGCTTTCTATCTCATTCAGAGTAAAAACCAGAGTGCCTGAGATGGTATCCTACACCATCTGTCCCCCATTACCTCTCCAACTTCTATTATCTTTCCCCCTTGGTCCCTCTGCCACACTGACCACCTTTCATATGCCAGGCACACCTCTGCCTCCAGACCTCTGCGCTTGCTACTGTCTCTTCCTGGAATGTCTTCCCCAGATGACTGCATAGGTGGTTCCCTCAATTCTTCCAGGTGCGGCTCCAGCAACAACACTATGGCAGTGGAGCCCTCCCTGATCACCTTACTTAAAATACAACCCACCTCCACACTGATCCTCGGTTAGATATTTTACTTGTTTACCATCCTGTCTTTTCATAGTAGAACCTAAGCTACACAAAGAGGGGAAATCTAGTTTTGTTCACTGTATTATCGGCACCTAAAACAGTGTCAGGCACACAGTGAACATTCAGTAACACCTGTTGAATCCACGTAGTATGAGGCAGGACATATTCTTTCACCTACATAGACTGTCATAATCTACTGCGATGCGATGCTCTGAAATAGGACACAGGAGTAATAGAAATACTAGAGCACTTTCTATGTGGCAGGCAGTCTGTTCTAAGAACTTCACACGCATTACTTCATTAACTGCATATAATAACTTTACATGTGCTAACTTATTTAATTCTCACAGTAACTCTACAAAGAAAGTACTATTATCACCTCTACTTGACAAATGTGGGAAAAACAATTGACTAAGTAACTTGCCCAGCATCAAAAATCTACTAAGCAATAGCACCAAGAATTTGGCAAACTCGAGTCTGGCCCCAGAGGCTATGCCTTAAAAGTGCTTTAAATGTCATACATATAAAATTATTTGCTAGAACTTTTTTTTTTTTTTGAAGAACAGCACTCAACTCTTACTAGCACCTCACATTTCAAAGCTACTTTTTGGTTTCCGAATTACGCATAGGTTCCACTTTCCTCATTTCCACAAGGGCAAGGAGATCTTTACTCTTGAACAAAATCAGTATTTTCCTCTATTGAAAAGGAGGGGAAAAACCAATGGTCAAAGCTCTAAAAATAGAACCAATAGTCCAGGGAGTGTTTTTTGTAGAAAACACCATCTCTGGCATCGAGTGTGGTTATGAGGAACCTCAGTAACAACTATCATTTCTGGAGCATTTTATTTATTTATTTTTTAAGACAGGTTCTCACTTTGTTGCCTGGGCTAGAGTGAGTGCCGTGGCGTCAGCCTAGCTCACAGCAACCTCAGACTCCTGAGCTCAAGCCATCCTCCTGCCTCAGCCTCCTGAGTAGCTGGGACTACAGGCATGTGCCGCCATGCCCGGCTAATTTTTTCTATATATATTAGTTGGCCAATTAATTTCTTTCTATTTATAGTAGAGACGGGGGTCTCACTCTTGCTCAGGCTAGTTTTGAACTCCTGACCTCGAGCGATCTGCCCGCCTCAGCCTCTCAGAGTGCTAGGATTACAGGCGTGAGCCACCGCGCCCGGCCCTGGAGCATTTATTAATACTACGTGCTGGACACTTTGACATCATGTTATTTCATTACAGCTCATAAAGACACAACAACATAAACATTATCTTTGCCCTGATACAGAAAGTGGGACTTGACGGGGTTAAAGTAACTCGCATCAGAGTCAGTAAGGAATGGAGCTGGGATTTGAACTAAAAGCCCAGATACGTGCGGTTCCGCCTCCCGCAGCCCAGACTGGCCACGAGGGTTTTCAAGGTAGAGATTACACTCATGTGGGGTTTCCGGGGCAGAGAAGGGCCCAGAACAGCAGGGCAAGGGTGGGATTTCCAAAACAGTGTGCCCACCTGCAGCCCCACAAGTCTGTGTATGTCCTGAGTGGAGGGCAAGTCGCAGTCATCTGAAAAAGCTGCCGCGTGGCCCAGGGCCAAGGTGGTGTCGTACAGTTCTTGGATATCACCTGCATTTAGAAACGCCAGAGGTTAAACTATTATAGCGTGTGTTTAGGAGCTTCAACAATTCCTGATTTTGCTATGGGAGAAAAGCATCAGATCCGTAACTTCAAGTGGCTTGGTAATTTACTTAATAAGAATAGTTCGTACCAATTTAGAGAGCCACTTGATGATTAGTTCAGTTTTTTTCTGTTGCTATGTCGGTGCCGTATCAATGCTTATCTTATTTGTATGTGGAAGAGAGAACACAACATTTAAACATCAAACTTTAGCTCACTCCTAAGAGTGTCATCGGTGAGACATTATTTCTATACATTTTAGGGCTGCAGAGGAAGGAAAGGCTTCCAAGCTATTTATTCCAGACTTTGATAATCAGAGAGTCAACTGGATAGTTCAGGGGACAACCCCTGTTTTCAAAATATTTCCAAATTTACAACCATACTGTATACTCACAACTTTAATAAACAGTCAAAAATCACTAGGCATCTAGCTATTTGGAAAATGAAGAAAGTCATTCTACTTATCAGTTGCTCCTTTTCCAAGTGTTCTTGGCAGTCAGCGAGTGTACCTTGTACAATTACATCATCGTCCAAATAGATGACTTTCTCGTGTTGGTGGATAAGGAGAGGGAGATAAAATCGAACAAAGTTCAGCTGTTAACAAAAGAAACGATGGTGGGGAGAGGCATATGGCTCAATGTCTTCTGGGGGTACAGGAAAGTTGGCTTTGACCATGGCCTCAGCTCAGCTCCAGGTTTATTTTTTCTTTCTTTCTTTTCTTTTTTTTTTTTTTTTTTTTTTTTTTGAGACAGAGTCTCACTCTCTTGCCTGGGCGAGTGCCGTGGCATCAGCCTAGCTCAGAGCAACCTCAAACTCCTGGGCTCAAGTGATCCTCTTGCCTCGGCCTCCCAAGTAGCTGGGACTACAGGCATGCGCCACCATGCCCGGCTAATTTTTTCTATCTTTAGTAGAGACGAGGTCTCGCTCTTGCTCAGGCTGGTCTCAAACTCCTAACCTCAAGCCATCCTCCCACCTCAGCCCTCCAGAGTGCTAGGATGACAGGTGTGAGCCACCACACTCGGCCAGCTCCAGGTTTGGAAGAAAATAAAACAGGCTACAGAGATGTCTCACCTGAGCTTCCTCGTACCCAACTTATCTGGGCCCTGGGGCTAAAACCAGCTGGCAGATCAGCAATTCTCCTAGACCTAATCCCCCGCTGCTGAGGCTGTTGCCACTTTCATCTCTGTGAGCTGCGGCAGTGGGAGTCACAGAGGCTTCCTAGACAATCTTTCAGGGCACAAATCGCCTGCCTTCCTCTATATTCAGTCAACTAAATCAGCCTTAAAGACATGTGCGCTTACACACACACACACACACACACACACACACACACACACACACACACACACACACACCTGTCATTCCAACAGCCATCTTTTAGCTCTTTGAACCAGAAAAAGGTCAGAGAAGCATGAGCTGTGGGTATAAGTTTTTGTTTTTGTTTTTTTGAGACAGAGTCTCACTCTGTTGCCCAGGCTAGAGTGCGTGCTGTGGCATCAGCCTAGCTCACAGCAACCTCAAACTTCTGGGCTCAAGCGATCCTCCTGCTTCAAGCCTCCGGAGTAACTGGGACTACAGGCATGCGCCACCATGCCCGGCTAATTTTTTCTATATATTTTTAATTGTCCAGCTAATTTCTTTCTATTTTTAGTAGAGACAGGGTCTCGCTCTTGCTCAGGCTGGTCTTGAACCCCTGAGCTCAAATGATCCTCCTGTCTCAGCCTTCCAGAGTGCCAGGATTACAGGCATGAGCCACCACGCCTGGCCTAGTTTTAAAGTTTCATTAGTAACAACGCCATTTAATCTGAAGTCCCAACTCAGCTTGTGCTCTGACAATATCTGCAATGGAGGAGAAAGATCATATCCTACACAGAGGGCTTCGAGAATTTAGTAAATTTTCAAGGATGGATTTAAGTAACAATCCTATGTAGAAGGTGGCTGCAGTTTCTGTAAAACTGCCAGCAAAAGCACCACTCTATGCAGCAGAAGATCCCTTTGTAAGAACTCTTTGCAGTAAAATATCTTAGGATTCCCAATGCCAGGAAAAAAGCTGGTGTCTCCTGAAAATTATTCTCTTAGTCAATGCTATGATGAAGTGTATAATCCATCATGTGGCTGTTTTTTCTTAGCTGCTGGGATACTCAGAGCTAAATTTAATGCACAATCACAGTACACACAACAACCTATGGGCTTGGTGTATTTTTTTCCTGGCCTTTCTATCTGGCCCACCTCCAGTTCCCACTCCTACAGACCATATTCACACATGCAAATGCATTCTACATTTGCTTATGCTTCATTTCTTTAATAGCTTTATTACATTTATGTAAACCACTCCTTTCTGGAGCAGTTGGCTTATCAATTATAAATAAGCAGAGTTTGGTGGAGATCTAACACCATGAGGCTGCGTCCCAATGGCCAGTGCTCCATGTGAGAGGAGGTCTCCTCAAGGACTGTCCCCAACACATGCACGATTCCCACTCACAGGCTGGAGCAATTCAGGCCTCGAGGCGTCTGGTCTGATCTTCCCTTTGAGGACCGTAGGGTTGAATTCCACGATTTTAAAGTTTATTTCTCTCAGTTTAGAATGTTCAATCCATTTTCTAAAGAAATGACAAAAAAAAAAAAAAAAACCCCATCTTGCACACACTTCAAATCTTTCCTCAATTTGTCTATCGCCTCAGGGTCAATCTATTGCCTCCTTAGGAAGTTAAAAATGTGTGTAAACTTAGTAAAGTTTAGTCTACAAACTCTGATTCTGACTTTTTTTTCCCTCATCTGATCTGGCTTTAAATCTTTCCCTTTTTCCTTCTCCCTTAATGACATAATTCTTTCTGCAAAGGAAATGAAGCAAAATAGTAATAATTAAATATCTCCCCAGATCCAAATAATTTCCCCCAGAAACAGGAAGAATGAAAAGTGCTCCCTCTTTCTTATAAAGCAGCATCGTGTCAGTTTTCCTGCACTGGATAGTGTTTGTTCTCATTAATATTTGCCCACCTGATGAGTGGAAAATTATATGTCACTCATGTGACATATTTTTTTTTGCATTTTTGAATAATGCAAATATGTTTTAATTCACATTTTCCTGTTAGTAACATAGAACATCTTTTCATGTTTGTTTGCCATTGGTATGTTTTTACCTCTTTGAATTGCCTATTCATACTCTATGCCCATTTTTCTAAGAGATGCTTGTGATTTTTAAATTTTTTGGAACAATTCTTTATTGTGAACAGTAATCCTTTATCTATAATATATGTTGAAAATATTTCCTTCTAATCTGTTATATGACTAATTTCACTTTTTGCGTTCTTCATCATTCAAAAGCTTTTCAATGTTATATAGTCAGGTTTTCCTTACGATTTCTGGGCTCAGGGAGGCATTCTCCAACCAAGATTATATAATTATCCTACATTTCTTTAAAACATTTAAATTTTGATTTCTGTTTATTTCTTCTTAATCTAACTCCAATTTAATCTTTAGTACAACGATAGGGGAAAGATCAGCTCAAAACTATATTATAATATACAAGTTATAAGTTTATAGTTCAAAAAATATAATTAGTTATGATTCAGGGCCATATTAAAATGGTTATGTGATGTTAATATTCTCTTAGGTTATGAGAGCAGACAAAAGAGAGACCATTTTAGAAAGACTTCCATATAATCTGCTTAAGGATTGGGGTTCTTTAGTTCATTAGACAATTCCCTTCTGCAGAATGATGCATTCATTGCAGATTAATAAGGCTTTGCTGAAATTTCCTTAGCCAGGCAACACAATTGTCAGGTCGCCAGGTAAACCTCAGGACATCCCCTTATTAATTCTAATGACATCATTCCAAAAAGGAAGGGAATCCATTTTTAAAAAGATAAGGAAGATTAAAAGAAAGTCGAAAGCTCCAAATACCGCAGTGCACAAATTACCGTATTCGAGACAGAGTGTTGCGGAGTCCGACTACGTAGAACAGAATGTTGGCATCGGTGTTGCTGTAGATGCTGTTGATGGCAGCCATGGCAGCGCCCATCCTCCCTGCTGCTGCACAAATCACCACGGGAATCTCCTCTTCCAGTTCTTCGGGGGTCTCGGATTCAACATCTGGAAACATTAAAATCAGTGCCTCGCACATGAAGGAATTTCACAGCAGAGCCAGATTACTAGTCTTCCACCCTCCTGGGGAAAGACAGTATATAGTGTAGAAGAGACTGCTGATTGTTCTCCAATACCCAGTCTCTCCTCCCCTTAGAAAAGAACTTTGGGGTTTTTAGTGGACACGCAGCCAACCGCTAAGACTATTTTACCCAGACTCCCTTTCAGCCCTGTGTGATCACGTCCTGACCTTCCAGTAACGTGTGCAACTACTGAGTCTGTCCTTCAGAGGAATGCTTACCTCCCCCTCGCCTTTCCCCTTTCCCCTGGCTGGAACATTGGTATGATGGCAGGAGTTAGAGCAGCCATCTTAGACCACCAAAGGTGGACCAGGAAGCTACCTGGCAAGGACACCAAAACCATAAGATAGAAGGAATCCTGATCTAGATTACTGTGGAACTGATACATTAGGCTTATGCTTAAGAGAGATAATAAACTTCTATATTGTTTAAGTCACTGTTATTTTGGAGCTCACTCACTTAAAGAAGCCAATTGGATAGCTGAATGTACACATGGTTGAAAAATATATGAAGAACTGAAAAGCCTCAGTTGTTCAACATTCCTCAACTCTTCCCTAAATTGGGATAGTGACCTTACCCACATTGCTCTAAGATATATGCTTGGGATTTTCCTTCCCCTATCCACCCTCTAGTCAAGGTTCCCAAATGCTGACAGCAAGAAAAAGGAGGCAAGTGAAAGAGCATGACTGATACATAAGAAGAATAATTGATTGTTCTTCTGAGCATTGGCCATGATATAAAATGCCAATGGCATAACATCATACTTTGATACCACAATACACCTTCCAGGCATGAAGAATAATAATCACGGCATTTAAGGTATCCACCATCAAATGCCCATCTGATTTTTACTTAAAGTTCTCTGTTTCTCTCTCTTCACAGGTTTATTTTTGCAAAACCTCTATCACTCAGGCCCAGGGTAGTTCTAGTCAGTATTCAATTCAACAAGCATTTATTGAAACTAACCACTGGCTACTGTGCTTCATGTCATTTAAGAAACACCGAATGTCCTCCCCCTTCTGCTTCTACATCTTTTCCACCAGCTTGCAACTGCATCTGAAATTCCCACTAGAATAATTTTGCTTTTATGATATGTACACTGACATAAGAAAATGCTCATAATATATTAAGGGGGAGAACATCACAAAATCCTCTCTAGTGTTTGATCTCAATCTGAAATATGCATATTTGCAAATGGATCTATGTCTATTTATGGAATTATATATGATTTTAATTCTATCAGTGTTTCTTATATTTTCCAAATAGTCTAAAGTAATCATGAGTTATTTTTATAAACAAACCAAGAAAAATGTTTCTTAAAGATTGTTCCTTTTGAACTAAGTTGTCATCTTGCGGAGGTCCCCTGATCATGTGATATGTTACCTACAGGCAGTGAAGTGTTCTGCCTGAAATGCATATTTGACTTTTTCTTCATTGCTGAAAGTCCTTCGGTGGTTCCTAAAAGGTGAAGCCACGTTCCTTCACCTGGCACCCAGGCTCCGCACAATCCAGCTCCTGCTCACATCTCCAGCCTTGTCTCCTTCTGCTCCACCAATACCAAACTCCCCGTGGTCCCCTGAATACTCCACCACGTTATCTCTTATCTCAGCGCCTTTACTCATGCTGCTCCCAATGCCTGGAATGCTTTCTCCATCGCTTTGTGCATGGCTAACTCTTACATATTCATCCAACTGCAGCCCAGACACCAGATCCTTTGGAAAGTCTTTAAGAGCTCCCTGCACCCATTAGCAACCCCTCGATCTGCGCTATGTCCTTGCCCGTGGCTGGCTTGATCAGCTGCACTGCAATTTATCTGGCCGTATGTCTTTCCTTTTTCTCCTATTAGACTCTGCGAGGGCAAGGGTGGTTTCTTGTTCACCTCTGTATCCTCTGCAGCTACCCTAGTGCCTGGCACTTGGTAGATTCTCAATACAATTTAGATGGATGGGTGAGTTTATTGGATACCTCTATTTGAGCACTTGTCACAGTGCGCTGTAAGAATCTATGCGTCTGCCTCCTCCACTAGACTGGAAGCTCATTATACGATCCCCACTGAGTCTGGCACCTTAGAAGTGCTTAATGAAAGTTTGCTGAAGTGAACTAAACTGAATTGACGGATTAGCCTTAGAGAATAGGGCCCTGGAGGAACAGTTCGTAGGCCATTCCCCGGGCCAAAGAGAGAGGGAGGTATTGGAAAGCCGGTGCGGTGCCTGGTGCCTGGCTGCCAGGCTCAGGCAGAGGCCTTGAGCCGACAGCAGGCAGCACGAAGTAGGAGGAGGGTGTCCCCGTGAAAGAGGGGACACCCAAGAGAACGTCAAACCTCTTTGCGTGTACAGCTCTGCTGCAGACACATCACCCGGCCCCACTTCTCAAGGGCCTCTGCCAGTCGGAGAAGCTGGGAGCTGACCTAAGCCCAAAATGCTGCTCTCTGCCAAACACTTTCCCTGGACAGAGTGAAGGACGAAGGCACACTGGAGAAATGTGCTGGGAAGGCTCATCAACTGTAAATTCTTCATCAATGCTCCATCCTGGCAGTTCTTTGAGAACTGTCTGCTGTACTGCTTGGATCCGTTTTACCAACTGGTGCCTGAGCCAACGCATTAAAAGGGTTGGCTAAGGGGAAGCCATTTGGTGCCTAACAACATTGGAAAGCATCATAATGATGGCAAAATGGACTAGAAAGACTAGCAGCTCTTATCGAACCATGCCTATTCCTAGAAGAGGTAAAAAGTCTGCTCTCCCAATGCCAAAACTCAGAATCCCGTTTCAAATAAGAATTGTTTTAGCCAAGTGTATCAACTTGCCACACCCCAAGTGGGACAGGACTGAGTGACCAGCACATTAATCATAAGCAAATTATTAGGAGATTACATGGAATGTCATTATCCGGAAATTACATAGAATGGCACCATGTTTTTTTTTCAGCATATGACTTCACAGGACCTCTGGACATTAACTTTTAACAACATTTCTTTGAAATAATGTTTTTTTTTTAAATTACAAACATCAATATATACTTCTTGAAAAAAATGCCAGCCCTAACAGAAGAGTATCTGGTAAATTGCAACTGTTTTCTGCAGAACTCTCACTCCCATTCCAGAAGGAGACCTCTGTTACTCTTCACGTAAATACTAAAAGATGCACACCACATACACCCATGACTCTAAAGCCAAAATACTTTTCATACTCTTCTGCAACTTGCTTTTCCTGATTAACATACCATGGACATCTTTCCATGTCAACACTACATTCTTTTGAATACTATTTTATAACATCAATTCTTTTTTATTTTAACACCAAATGGGATGATAGTGGATTCATTCATGCAGTGCAAATGCTTTGTTTGTCGGTATATGGCTGATTAATCAGTCACAATGTGCATTTTGTTACAGTTGTTTTAACAGCTGTTATACAGCTTACTTGTTTCCTTCCGTGGACAAAGGAGCCCGCAGTGGGATTAGCTGACCGAATGTGTTGGTTTACGGGCGGGGAGTGAAGTGTGAGGAGTTCAGATGACATTTGGCCTTGCATGACTTCCCTTCTCGCTCTCTTTTAAAACAGTGTATTGAGGTGTAACTTAGATGCAGCTGTGGACTGGACTGTATGTTAAAGTCTTGACGCCCAGCAGCTCAGGATCTGACCGTGTTTGGAGACGGAGTTTACAAAGAGGCAATTAAGTTAAAATGAGGCCATTTGGTGAGACCTTAACCCAAGAGGGCTGATATCCTACTAAGAAGAGGCAGAGACACCAGGGACGCTGCACAGAGGAAAGGCCATGTGAGGACATGGTGAGAAGGAGGCTACAGGCCGAGGAGAGAGGCCTCAGGACAAACCAACCCTGCTCGCACCTTGGCCTTGAACTCCCAGCCTCCAGAAATCAAGAAAATACATTTCTGTTCTTTCAGCACCTATGGCAGCCCTAGTAAACTAATAGAGATTTATTAAAATTTACCTATTGTAAGTGTACAATTTAACCATTTTTAACACATTTATAGGCTTGGATATATATCACCACAATCCAGTTTGAGAACATTTCCATACCCCAAAAAATTCCCCTAAGCTGGTTTGCAGTTGATCCACTCTCACTCCCAGCTCAGGCAACCATACATCTGCTTTCTGTCTCCATAGTTTTGCCTTTTCTAGAAGTCTCGTATAGATGGAATCATACAATATGTAGTCTTTTGGGTCTGGCTTATTTCATTTAGCATCATGTGTTTGAGGTTTACCCATGCTGTAGCTTGTATCAGTAGTTTGTTCCTTTTCACTGTTGTAAAGCACCCCACTGTGTGAATATACTGCATTTCATTTATCCGTTCCCTAGTTCATGTACTGTGGACTGTTTCCAGTTTGGGGCTACTAAAAGTAATGCCCTATGAACATCTGTTTATATGTCTTTGTGTGAAAATTATTCTCTTTCTAGATGCTCTTGTTGTTCATTAAGACCAGATTATACATGTTTTAAATGAAATTTTTAAATTAAAAAAAACACCCAGCTTCACAGGAACAGGAACGTTGCTTTGTTTAATGTGTTTCCAGCTCTGAAGTGTTTGGCTTAAAAAAAATTGTGGAATAAATGTGTGTAACACACCAAAATACTAACTGTATTTGTCTTTGGCTGACACAGCTATAGGTAACACTTTTTCTTCTGTACTTTCCACAAATGAAAATATTTGCTTGGCTAATATAAAAAGTAAATTAATGAAAAATATAATAGCCACAATGCTGTCTAATTTTTGTGGGGGTTGACTTTGTGTGTGTTTTGGGGTCATGAAGGTGTCATCTCGTGCAATTCACCCCCAACTCTAGTGCAGCTGAAAGAGGACATGGGGTCCTCTTCCCCATGGATCATTTTCAAGTTGAGAATTCTGAGGCTGTTTGTGCACTGATGGGAATGAATTAGCAGGGAGAAGAGAGGGAGGGTGATTTTCACAAGCCAAAATTATTGAGAGACTCCAAAGGGATGGGATGTAGAACAGTCCACCCAAAGTGTGGTCCAAGAACCTACCACATCACCCTCAACCTGGAGCTTATCAGAAATGCAAATCCTCAGGCCCCAGCCCACACCTGCTGATTCTAAACTTCTCAATGGAGCCAGTACTGTGTTTTAAACAAGTCTTCCATGTGGATCTTACATACACCACAAAGTTTGAATAGCATCGATCATTCTATAATAACAGAATAGCACCTATCACCCTAGAGTGCAACTGAAAAGGTGGCCTAAAGTGTATAGGTGGGTAGGTGGGTAGGTGCCAGCAGGTCCTTGGGAGCTGACAAAATTGTCGCTTGTCCGTGAACCCGGATACTGAAAGGACCTAAAGGAAGACATTCAAACTTCGTTCCTGGGTATCCAATCTCAATGGATTCCCTGCCCACTTACCTGTCTCATTCTTAATCACAGTCTTCTTATGAATTTTCTTATATAGAATCGCACAGAGGGTCACAATCAGAAGGAAGAGCAACACCTGGTTTACTGAAATAAAAATGGAAAGACATTAACATTTAACCTAACAACCTGAAATTGCATGGAAAATTTTAGGATGGCAGCATGCGTAGCTGGTGGCCTGGGACCTTTCTTTTAGCAGATGACATATGGAGTGAAGAATTAACCAGGGTCACTGCTGTTGTTCAGGGACACACAGAGGAAGGGTAAGGAAGGTCCAGAGCCAAACCCAGGCAGTCTGATGGCAGAGGCTGCGACCTTAATCATTATAAGATGCTGTCTTTGGAGCCACTTTCTGTACGTGAATATTTTGTTTCAAATAATTACCAACATTTATATAATCTTATTATGATACAATAGTAGTTATGAGCACATGTTATTAGCTGTTATAACACAGTTGTTTCTCAATTAATTCAACTACTGGTCAAGAACGATGTGCAGAGAATTCCTGCCCAGGGTAAAAGGTTAGAAGACTCCAATATGTCTTCCAGTTCTAAGTCTCCAGGACCACCTATTGCAGATCAGTGATGCTTGTCCCTGGGATCTACTGAGAAATAGAAGTGGTGTAGGACAGTGTTTTCTTGAGTGTGGAACATATACTACTGGATGTGCAGGAAATGACTGAAGAAGATCATATTTGCAGTATTAAGTAGTGTTAAGTCACAGTGTGAGAAAGTTAGTCTTTCTGACTTCATTTGCAGGCAAGCAACAAAAGCTACCCAGAACTGAATAACATTCTTCTAATTGTATATATATTTACAACCACTTTCTTCTTATGATACAAGATAATTCTTTTTTCATTTATAGTAAGGATAAAAACTTTACAATATAAAGTACATGCAAATTTTTAGGCCGGGTGCAGTGGCTCAGGCCTGTAATCCTAGCACTCTGGGAGGCCAAGACGGGCGGATCTCTCAAGGTCAGGAGTTTGAAACCAGCCTGAGCAATAATGAGACCCCACCTCTGCTAAAAATAGAAAGAAATTAATTGGCCAACTAAAAATATATATAGAAAAAATTGGCCAGGCATGATGGCGCATGCCTGTAGTCCCAGCTACTAGGGAGGCTGAGACAGAAGGATCGCTTGAGCGATCCAGGAGTTTGAGGTTGCTGTGAGCTAGGCTGATGCCATGGCACTCTAGCCGGGCAACACAGTGAGACTCTGTCTCAAAAAAAAAAAAAAAAAAAAGAGTACATACAGATTTTTAAAATGAGTCAATTTAAAGAAAATATTAAGTAACATATAGGACAGAAGGAACACAAATGATGAAAAATTGAGAAGATGGGATGTTGCCATATGTGGTGCATGCACATGCCTGAAGCTTAAAAAATGTTGCTGGAAGAGGAAAGGGTGGGAGGTGTAAAGTCAGACTGAAACCTCATTGCTACCACCTCCTCACTGTGTGGCCTCAGACAGGCCCCTCAACCTTTCTGAGCCTCTGGTGTGCTTGTCTGCTAAAGGGGAATTACTATAATAAGCATTTTCTCACACTGTTGTTTTGAGAGTTAACAGAGGCAATGAACGCCCAATACTTTATTATTGTTATGTATTATTATTTATTATTTTTATGCATCAAGATACTTAAGCTACTGACCTCATACTGATCTATTTTCTAGCCCGTAAGCCTTTGTCTTTTCATTTGTAAGACAACAGAGTTGGAGACTCTCCAATGATGACTTCCAAAACAACTTTTTTTTTTTTTTGAGACAGAGTCTCGCTTTGTTGCCCAGGCTAGAGTGAGTGCCGTGGCGTCAGCCCAGCTCACAGCAACCTCAAACTCCTGGATTGCTCAAGCAATCCTTCTGCTTCAGCCTCCTGAGTAGCTGGGACTACAGGCATGCACCACCATGCCCGGCTAATTTTTTCTATATATATTAGTTGGCCAATTAATTTCTTTCTATTTATAGTAGAGACAGGGTCTCGCTCTCGCTCAGGCTGGTTTTGAACTCCTGACCTCGAGCAATCTGCCTGCCTCGGCCTCCCAGAGTGCTAGAATTACAGGCATGAGCCACCGCACCTGGCCCCAAAACTACTTTTTGAGACTTAGTGATTCTACCTTGCTGACAACCCAGCTCCTCCCTCTCTGGGTTATCAGATTCAGCCATAAACTAGACTCAGTTTAAAACAAAACTATAGAGAGGCAGAAAATAAGGGACAAAGTTCTATAGTTTATCAACAGGTCTGATTAATATTCACCTGCCACATCCAATCTGGGAACATGGCCCAGTGTCTACTACTATGTGATTCTTTCAACCGTGGCTATTACCACTGACATAGGGTTGCCATGCAACATTTGGGACATATTATACTAAAAAATTGTTTGTTGCCTATCTGAAGTTCAAGTGTAACTGGCTGCCCTGTGTTTTCATTTGCTAAATCAGGCAACTCTGCCATGAGGGTAACAGCCAGATAATTAAGTTACTATTTCCCCCCAAATTTATGAACCACTAGATCTAAACCCAGGAGCAAATCCAGGTTGTGATGGGTCTGAAGATTTGAAGTGACTCTTTAAGAATACAAAATTACATATGCCAAATTAGACATGAGCATGAATCTTTATTTAGAATGAGAAAATAAGTTATATTCGTAAGTTTTATAGCAATATATGTGTGTCCTTTCATGATAAGTCCACTTTAACCAAAATACTTAACAACTTTCCATGGGAATTACACTGAAATGATGATGCCAAAAATTGCCCATGGGAAAACTATCCATGAAAATCAAAGAAGGTTAAAAAAAAAAAAAGCCAAGCTTTGGCATAAAAACAGTCCTCCCAGGTTCGCAGCCGAGCCCTGGCCGCTCTCTAACAGCACTGCCTCTAGTTCGCTGAGCTCCAGCAAAGGAGAAGGCGGGTAAGTTAGGAGGTCTTGATACCAGGGCTGGTACAAAGCAGACTGCTCACAAATCCAAAGGCGGAAAAGCACCCAGGAAGCAACTGGCTACAAAAGCCGCTCGCCAGAGTGCGCCCCCCACTGGAGGGGAGAAGAAACGTCACAGCTACAGGCCTGGTACATTGGCACTGCGTGAAATTAATTACATGCTATCAGAAGTCCACTGAACTTCTGATTCGCAAACTTCCTTTCCAGCATCTGGCCCGAAAAATTGCTGAGGACTTCAAAACAGATCTGCGCTTCCAGAGCGCAGCTACTGGTGCTTTGCAGGAGGCAAGTGAGGCCTGTCTGGTTGGCCTTTGTGAACACACCACCAATCTGTGTGCTTTGCATGCCAAATGTGTAACAGTTATGCCAAAAGGCATACGGCTAGCACGCCGCATACCTAGAGAACGTGCTAAGAATCCACTATGATGGGAAAACATTTCATTCTCAAAAAAAAAAATTTTTTTTCTCTTCTTCTTGTTATTGGTAGTTTTGAACGTTAGATATTTTTTTCCATGGGGTCAAAAGGTATCTAAGAATATGATTGCTATTGGAAAATTAGGGGACAGAAATCAGGTATTGGCAGTTTTTCCATTTTCATTTGTGTATGAATTTTTAATATAAATACTGGAATGTGAAGCATTAATACTAGTCAAAATGTTTCAATGAACAAGTTTTAGCAATTCAACTTTATAACAATTATAAATAAACCTGTTAAATTTTTTTAAAACAAGTAAATTTTTTATTGACAGCAAAAATACAAGCACTCCTCCGAAATATCTATTTTTATAATTATTATTTTCAAAACTTGTAACCTTACTTTTTCGTAACAGAGCCATGTGTGTTCACGTGGATAAGAACTGTGACCTGTGGATTAAAGAATAAAATTTTGTTTAAAAAATAATCAACTTAAAAAAACAACAACAATCAACTCAAAAGTCATCCACAAGTGTTAAGGACTGTGCCTTCTTTGAAAGTCTGATATATCCGTGAAGTGTGTGATCATTCTTTACTGCTCCAAATCTAAACTTTTGGAAATAAAATAAATGTAGCCCACCTCCTCAAAAGTGATTCCTTTGGCTGAAAAAACCTTATTAAGGGTCCCAAAAGCTAATATTTTGTCTTCAGGGTTTTAAAAATATTTTTCTAAAAGAGCCCTGTCAGCCTTCTGGGTGAGCAGAGCAGATGGCACTAACGGGAAGAAGAGTCATACAAGAAGGTTTCCTTGAGCTGAGATATCAACCCCCATGCTGTCTAGCTTTTACATTTTCAGGAATCCCCCAGAAGGGCATACTTTATACTCCATTCATTCAGTCAGTATTTACATACTGAGATTCTACTCAAAGTCCAGCACTGTGCTACATACTGGAGATGCACCGACAAACAAAACTGCCCTCGTCCCAATCCTCCTGGAGCTTTTGGACCAGTGGAGGAAACATATTAACACATAACAAATAAATGATCAGATACTAAGTGGTAAGTGTTATGAAGGAAGCAATGGCGGTGTTGGGATACAGACTAACAGCGGGGAGGAATATGCACATCTGGAAGAGAAACCAGGAAAAGCCTCAGTGAGGAGGCGGCATTTGGTGGGGAGGAAGAGCGGGAGCCATCAAGTGGAGAGCATGCAGAGGAGGGAAAGCACGCAGAGGGAAAGGCAAATGCAAAGGCCCTGTGGCCAGAAAGAGCTCTGGGTATTCTAGGAATAGCAAGAAGGTCAATGTGGCTGGAATGTAGTAGGCCAAGGAAGAGACTGGGGCTGGAAGAGGCAGGAGAAGTACCAAAGGGCCTGATACTACAGTGCCTGGAGAGGAGTTTGGATTTTATTTTAAACTCATTTAACCCCCTCCATCAGTCTTTGACTTCATTAAAGCCCTAAAGTTCTGTTCTTCAAATATTCCCAAGGAAATTCTGATTGCAAAGGAGAGTGAATACTCAACATCACCCACAATGAGCCCAAAATATCTTTCAAATTTCTTGTTTTACCTCCAAATTCATGTGAACTGTGCAAGAATGTAGCGGTGGAATAGGAATCCCTTCTTTAATTGCTGGCAGAGTTGCCCTCAGGGAGAAAACTGTCTTTATTATGAAGGCGAGGTCTCTTGTGCTTAGGTGGGATCCTGAGTCAGAGCAGGAGAAAGCTGGACAGGTTTGAATAAAGGAAGGGAGAACGGGAATCCTGGGGTTGGCTGCAGCCCAAGCAGAAATGTTATTAGGGAAGAAGAAAGAGTCCGAGAGAACTTACTTCCCTACGGCAGAAGGGCCCCAGTGACTTCTGAAAACTGGGGTGTCCACAGTCCTCTGCCATGCTCTGCACCTTCTAACCCCCAGCCCACCTCCACGCTGCTCTTCCCACTAGACCCAGACAGGTGTCCACGTTGGATGTGCACGACAAGGGAGAGATACAACTGAGATAGAAATTTCCAAGGGCACTGAAAATGAGAATGTAAGCCAACAGGAACTTGCAGAATTTTTGAGGGGACATTGGATTGGGGTGGGATGGGGAAAGATAAACCAATTTTATATGAATCTCTGTATCTATGGCAGATGGCAAGGGTCCTAACCTTTTCTGTGTCATGAATCTCTTGGCAGCCTGGTAAAGCATACAGACCCCTTCTCAGAATAATGTTTTTAAAAGCTTTAAAAAATACAGTGTAGTATAAAGAAAACCATGGCAGACTTTTAAGGGGAAAAAAAGCCATCAGAATACTGGGGGCGGGGACTGGGAAAAGATTTATGACATAGCAATACATGTGCATCTTTATTAAGTAACACAACCTATTAGCAGGTATAATAAATACTGTAATTTGAAGTAGTGATGAATTTTAAAAATTGTGAGATATCCGTAACTGTAATGTGATATGAAAATATCTGATTTCTACTGTAACAAAGGCATAGACAGTGCAGTTATGACTGTTACTACTGTGGTTTGTTGTCTATAATCACAATAGAAGAGAAGGCTCAATTTCAATTAGAGGTTAGTGAAAATAAAGATGTAATTTTTTCTTAGTTATGAACATGAACCCTTTGAAATTTATCCATGGGCCCTTTGAAGGTCTGTGCACTCCAGGTTAAAGGTTAGAAATTCTGAGGTGGGTTGACTCAAATGATACATGGTTTAAGATGCCACAAAAGAGTGATGTCTTAAATATTTCATTATTGGTATTGGCCGGGCGCGGTGGCTCATGCCTATAATCCTAGCACTCTGGGAGGCCGAGGCGGGTGGATTGCTCGAGGTCAGGAGTTCAAAACCAGCCTGAGCAAGAGCAAGACCCCATGTCTACTATAAAAATAGAAAGAAATTAATTGGCCAACTAATATATATATAGAAAAAATTAGCTGGACATGGTGGCGCATGCCTGTAGTCCCAGCTACTCGGGAGGCTGAGGCAGGAGGATTGCCTGAGCCCAGGAGTTTGAGGTTGCTGTGAGCTAGGCTGACGCCACGGCACTCACTCTAGCCTGGGCAACAAAGAGAGACTCTGTCTCAAAAAAAAAGAAAAGAAAAAAAAAGTTCACTATTTAGAAAAACTGCTGCTCTGGGAAGATTTTTCCAGATTTGTCCTGTGGCTTTTTGTAGCCCCAGGCTCACCACAATGGTACTCTAGGGCTGAGGTCCCCTACCCGGCAGGGCCGCAGACCCCATAGGGTCGTGGCCTGTTAGGGACTCAGCTACAGAGCTCCGCCCCCACCCCTCCTTCCCACCTTGTGCCACTCCACCCCCACCAACCCGGTCCGTGGAAAAATTGTCTTCCGTGAAACTGGTCCCTGGTGCCCAAAAGGCTGGGGACCGTTGCTAGGGGACATGCACCGCAGGATGAGAAAGTGGTCCCAGGCAAACGTCAGGAGAGGGCAGGCTGGCTGCAGGCGATAGGGAACCAAAGGGAAAGAAGGGGAGCCCTCAAGGGAAGGCTAGAGAATGCCCGAGATAGATCTGGGATAAGATGTGCCTGTTTTGCACTGCTATACTATTTGAAGTAATTAAGATACCCATCTTCTCGCAACTTCATCTAGCCCAGTATCGAAAAGCCCTTCTGCTTCTGTATTGAAGATTACAGAAAATAAAGGGGGAGGCCAGGACACATAAAGATGGAGACTTTTCATCGATATTCATACAGGGCTTATATTGAACATGTTTAATAACCAGTATGGCCCTTGGTGCCAATTGATCAAATGGAAGAGACCCACTGGTGTGTTCTGTCAAACAAACAGCAATTCTAGCATCTACGGAGTGTCAAACCATACAAACATATTATCTATTCAAACAAATAAGTACAAGAGATTCTACACACACATACACACACACACACAATGCATTATGTTCTGATAAGCAACAAGAGCCATAACTGTCAGTCACATCAACCATTCTCATAATTTATCAGGCCAAATTTTTACATGAAGTCCTTGGCTTCGCCTGAGACAAATTCAGGACAAATACTAAGAGAGGCCTAGAATTCTAAGAGGCCTATGTATTCTAGGAACTACTTCTTTTAACAGAAGAGCCCAACTGCTTCCTCAGAGAATAAAGAATTGGCCTAAGAGAACTATTTTTCTGCCTAGGTATTTGAGACGTGCTGACAAGGTAATTCCTTTGTGAACGTCTGGATTTCCACAAATTTCCTACTGTGAACTTTCATAATTAGAAGGAGTGTTTCACTAAGTGAAACATAAATGGTGCTGTATGATAAACACTCGGTATACCTGGTTTTACTTTTGTTTTAAATAGGTTTCCTTGCTGTGGCGAATTTACTAAAGCCATATTAACAAATCAGCTTCCAGAATTGACTTGCTGATTTTTATCTTTTTGAAAATTTGTGTACATTAGAATTTACTTCTTTGGTCATATAGCTTTATAATTTTAACACTTGCTTAGAGTCTTGTAACAACCACCGTAAATGCAATAGAGAACAATTTGAACGATCTCAAAGAATTCCCTTGTGCTATCTTTTTGTATAAGAGTTAGACCCTGCCCAACACCTCGCCCTTGGCAACAACTGACCTCTGTCTCTACAGTTTTGCCTTTTCCAGAATGTGATATAAATGAAATAATACAGAATGTAATCTTTTGAGCCTCTCTTCTTTCACTTAGCATAATGCATTTGAGACTCACGCCTGCTGTTGCCTGTTTCAATAGTTTGTACCTTTTTATTGCTGAATGGTATTCCATTGCATAGATACACTACAGTTTATTTATCCACTCACCCACTGAAGGACATTTGGGTTGTTCTCAGTGTTTTGTGATTATAATGTTTCTATAAACACTTGTTTATGGGCTTTTGTGTGAATACGGGGAAAATATCCAAAAGTGGCATTGCTGGGTCATTTGATAGATATATATTTAACTTCATAAGAAACTGTCGATCTGTTTTTCTAAATGGAAAAAGATTTTCATCTTGCAAACCTACCAGCAAGGCAAGAGAGTTCCAGTTCTTCTGCATTCTTGTCGGCACTTGGCATTGTCAGTCTTTTTTATTTTAGCTATTCTAACAAGTGTATTGCATTGTGATTTTTTTTTTTTATTTTTTTTATTTTTTTTTTTGAGACAGAGTCTCACTTTTGTTGCCCAGGCTAGAGTGAGTGCCGTGGCGTCAGCCTAGCTCACAGCAACCTCAAACTCCTGGGCTCAAGCGATCCTCCTGCCTCAGCCTCCCAAGTAGCTGTGACTACAGGCATGTGCCACCATGCCCGGCTAGTTTTTTGTATATATATTTTTAGTTGGTCAATTAATTTCTTTCTATTTTTAGTAGAGACGGGGTCTCGCTCAGGATGGTTTCGAACTCCCAACCTCGAGCAATCCTCCTGCCTTGGCCTCCCAGAGTGCTAGGATTACAGGCGTGAGCCACCACGCCCGGCCTGCATTGTGATTTT